GCTCAGCGAATTAAAGCACCTATAATCAGGCGCAGGGGATAGGGATTCCATCCCCAGGCCTGCCATGCCGCCCCTACCCCCAGGCTGCACTGAGACAGCAATTGAGACTGGGTGTAGTGGCATGTTCCTGTAATCCCAGCTCTTGGGAAGCTGTAAACAGGCAGATCACTACGAGTCTAATCTAGTAATGAGACCCTGAACGCCCTGTAGATCCTTCTCTAAAATACAGAAAAAAAAAAATCTATGTGCTTGACATGCTTTTTTTTTTTTTCCCCCCCTTTTTGTGATACAGTGTTCAAACTCAGGGCCTCATTCTTGCCAGCCAAGAGCTCTACCCCTGAGCCACACACCCCCACCAGCCTCCCAAGGAACCATTTTACATTGATTTCTTTGTCCCTTCGGTGCTGGAGACTGAGCCCAGGATCTTGCACAGGCTAAGCAAGTGATCCATCACTGAGCTACACACCCAGCCCCCTTGACACTTTTCTGGAGACCACAGGTCAGCAATACAAAAAGAGGAGAAAGACTCCCCCTCAAGGACCATACATGGAATATGTGTTGACCTTACAGAGCTAATTTGTGTTCCCTGTCACCGTGTCCTCATCAGGGAAGTCCAAATGGTATTCCAGTGACAATGTGACCCCATTTCTTGTTAAATAAGGGACAAACAAGATCCAGGCCATAGCTTAACAGTAAGAGATGAATAACAAGAGACTGCAGGAGAAGTGTGTCCTGGAGAAGCTGGGAGCCCAGCAGCAAAGCCAGTAGTTCCTAGTGCACCTCCTGAATGCTAGAAGACAGCACGGCCCCTGCGACCTAATGTCCACCCAGGCACAGAGGGTGGCCAGGGAGTTGTTTGGTCTAATCTGTTTCACTTTTTAGGAGAGAACATCGAGGCCCAGTAGTCACCAGTGCTGCAGGATTTTCACATAGAAAGGGAACACCAAGGCCTTTTTCCCAGGAAGCAGCTTTATTTGCGCTGCTACTGATCAGAGGATTTGTATCCAAGCGCAGAGCGCCAAACATGGCCTACTTGCAGCCTTTCATACAATTTTTGTGTCCTGGTCTCCCTTACACTAGCATTCTACAGTTTGGCTGGGTATGTATTAACATTCTAAGGTCTGGCTGGGAATGATTTATGTTACGGAATTACATCAGGACTGCACATGTGTACCCAGAGGCTGATATTGCCACAGTGTAAAAAGTTTCCACTCCCACACTCAGAAGGGACCCTACCACAAGGGACCATCTCTGAGCCAAATTTTTTAAAACTTTCCCCAGGTTCAAGGGATTTAATCCACAGCCTTGTGTGCCGTGGATTACGCGCTCCACCACTGAGCTACATGATGAACCCCTGATTCATCTTTCAATTTTTTTTATTCCTCAGAGATTGTGGACATTTATTCTGATGCTAGACATCAACAAAAACTGAAGGAGGCTGAGGCAGGAAGACTACAAGTCTGAGGGCAGCCTCAATAATGTAATAAGGCTGTATCTCAAAATAAAAATGGCTGGGGATGTACCTTAGAGTAAGGCCCTGGCCTCAACCTGCAGTATATCTGAAAAAAAATAGAAAAATGAAAGGCTAGATGTTCATCCTTACTTTGTATAAAATACGCAAATATATATATATGTATATATATATGTATATATGTATACATATACATATATATATATATTCACAAAAGGTAATTATAGAATAAGCATCAATGTGGATTCAGTAACAACTGATAAGAGTTTGCAGGCTGATTTTACTCTAATTAATTCTATTGACTTATGGGATGCTACAGGACAGCTAAGGTGACTGTAAGGTCTCCATGACTAAAATCAATCAATGATTACACTTGCATCAGCTAAGCAACAATTTACAAGGAGTGTAAGTGGTAGAGGGAGCGGGGCAGGACTGACACTTTTTTTTTTTTTTGGCGGAGCCAGGGATTGAACTCAGGCAGGCCCTTGCGCTTGCCAGGGAAGCTCTTATTCCACTGAGCCATCTCCCCGGCCTCTGACACTTCTTTAAAGATAAAAGACAAATAATAAAATTAAAAGCCTTTACGGTAACACCAGACTCATGCTTAGGTAAAAACAGAGCAGATAGCAGATTAAAGTGCCTGCAAGCAGGCACAGGGGCCAGGGGTTCCATCCCCGGGTATGGTGGCACATGCCTGTAATCCAGCTCTTGGGAGGCTGTAAATAGGCAGATCACTATGAGTCCAATCTAATAGTGAGACCTGAACACCCTGTAGACAGACCCCCCCCAAAAAAAAAAAAACAGCAGAAAAGGATCCCATAAACTTAATGCTTGACTTGGTATAATAAGCCTAGGGAGCTGGGGAGATAGCTCAGCAGTCTAAGCACCTTTCTGGCAAGCACAAGGACCCAGGTTCAATCCCCAGTACCACTCACCACGCCAGCCTGCAACCCCAGGGCACACCATGCTGGCCTTGAAACTGGGCATGGTGCAAACACTTATAATCCCAGTACTGGAGAAGCTGAGACAGGAGCATCACTACAAGTACAGGCTGTATAGCAAGACCCTGTACCTAGTTAATTAATAGATTAAAAACAAATTTTAATCATAAGCTGGGTACAAGCAGATAATCACGCTATTCTTGAAAAACTCTTATAGGTGTTATCAGCAGTATCCTGAAGGCTATAGATGCACATCAGATATCAATTTTAGAAGCAGCTTATTCCTCAACAATGCCAAATCATTCTACCCAAAGTTGGAAATGTAAACAGAGAGCACACCCAGGGAAAATTACTTTTGAAACTGAGTTTTCGATCCTTCCTTTAGGCATTGTTTTTAATCAACCAGCAGGGCAGAAGATGCCTTTATCAGGAGAACATCATCGGCACATAACAGGTGAAATTTTAATGAGAAGATAATGAAAGATGAAAACTCAGAATTATTAGTTTAACCTTTAACATTGAGTTAAGTATTATATGTGCTGGGTTGTCCTGAAGAATCACCTGGAGACTTTAAAAGTTCCTAATGCTTGGCCCTGTCCGAGGGTAGTTAGGGTACTTTTCAATCTCAGGAGTAGGATTGAGGGACCAGCACTTTGTAAAGCTCCCCAGATGTGCAGCACAGTTAAGAGCGGAGTGCTCTGCAGGGGGTTTAGTCTCAGTTCAGAAATCAAGTAAGATTCTCTTAATTAAAACAAGATAAACTAAGTAGGCATCCTAAGAGTATAATACCCTGAAATGTCACCCAATTGAATACAAAACTCTGTAACACTAGCAATTTCTTTCTTTTTCAGTCAGATGCACCCAGCTTTGACTTTTTCATCTCTTAACATTTCCAAAGCAAAGAGATGACTTCCAAAACTCAGACATTTTTCCTCACTTGTGGTGAGCTTGAGGTACAAACTAACTGAGAAAAAGAAATCTCATCTCCATTCCTTCACCTTCCTTGGTCGGCCTTTCCAGAAGAGAAAATAAATAAAGAATAACTCCTCTTAAATGTTTCAAAACAAAATAATTAAAATGACTTTTTGAGTAAACAACTATGAACCTCAATGAGCTATTTCCTTTAGTTTTTTACTAGTCACAGGCTCAGGCTCTATCATGAAAATAGCTGCATTCTTTCATCTCTGTCAAATCACTCAGTGAAATTATATCACAGGAGGGCTGCCTGTGTCCCACAGTATATGAGGGTTCTGCATAGCATGTACCCTTTGGCTTGCTGGACACCTGCCTGCTGAGCTCAAGTGGCGATTTTTCCAGTTTGTGAAGTCTGCCTAACTATACAGCACCATGACAACCTGTCCAGCTTAACTACAAGACATTATCTAAACCTGATTGAGGACATTTTAGTAAACAATAATGAAAAAGGCAGGTTTAATTGTCTTAAAGCTTGAAAGTCTCCCTAAAGCTTAAAATACAAAGGTATGACAATATACAATGTATTAATTATTGTAACTGTCCTACTAATCTGATTTGAAACTATCTCACTGCTATTTCTTTCTCATTAAAATTAATATAATTTAAATTAAGAGTAAAGCATGAAAAAATAAAAATAATAAAATACAAGAGGTAGTGACCAGATTAATGGATTTCTAAGAAAAGAGTAATTCTCTCCACTACCACTTTTAAAGCAATCATGAAAAGAAGCATAAAAACTTCTAGAACACGAATGTCTTTCCTTCAGAAGACCTTCAGGTAGTAAGAGGAATGTCAATATTCCCCAGCTGCCTGGTGCAAATAGTGATTCATTCTCATCAGGAGGATGGTTGTATTACTACTACACTATTTTGCTTGCAAGTAGGAGTGATGTGTTTGTTCCTCAATGTAAAATACGAGAGTACTTTTCAGCAATGCAAAGGAAGGAAGTATACCTACGGCAGCATGGATGAGCCTCAAGAACAAAGTTGCTAAAGATGCCCCATAGTTTATGACTCTGCTCATAGGAAATCCTTATGACAAGTCTGCAGGGGGGAAAAGCAGAACAGTGATTAAGAATGTGCAAAGATTGCAGAAGGGATCATTCTGAAAGTGACAGAAATGTTCTAAAACGGGATGTTCATAAACTAAAAACCATTGAAATATATCCTTAAACTGGATGGATTTTTAACATTATAAACTACAGAAAGAAAAAAAAAGAAAAGAAAAGCTGGAGAGATAGTTCAGCGGACGAAGCTGGTGACCGAGACCCGGTGTTGTGGTCCACGCCTGTAATGCCAGCCTGGGGAGGCTGAAGCCGGAGGATTACTATGAATGGGAGCCGTGAGACCCTGTACCAAATACATAAAAAAGAAAAAAAGATATTGTACCAACAAGTTAATGGCTGTCCATATATGGGGCTAGTTCTTAGCTACCACACAGGTCATTTGTCTCATAAATGTCCTTGTGAATTGTGCTTTCTTGATGCCCACTTATAAAAAGTTATAATAATTGGGGTGGAGGAGGAGGGGATCACACATTACCAAATTCAAGATTGTGCGCCACTGCAACAGATACCAGGTCTGGAAATTCGAAAAGACATCAGGTATAAATAAATGGTTCTTGATCTGGAAAGGCGAGGCTGTACTCATTACAATAACTGGAGCCTGCGTGGGACAACTGACCTCAGAGAAACGACATCGGCCCCAACAAATAACCAGGCAGTAGGCAGGTTTTCTAATACAGAAAAGGGCACGCGTTTGCCAAACCAGGTTGGTTTTACTTCGGGAGGTGCTAGAGCACGACGCCAGGAAGTTTCGAGGACCCGGCAGCCCTCCTGTGGTCCCTGCGCTGCTCAGCCACCCAGGACCAGGCGCCGCGTGGACGACTTCGGGGACTGCGTCCCGCGTGCGCCCGTGGAGATGAACCCCCGCCCCCAACCAGGACCCACCGCTTCCCGGGACTCTGGGACCCTCGCGCTGCTTAGGGACCGACGGACGCCGCGTGCCGTGGGCGGGGCTGC